GATATAGATAGACGTGGAGTAAGGAAGAAACATTACGTACCCCGATTTTACCAGGGATAGAACAATGCCACACCATCAAATTAATAGACCCATCTGGAACTCTTTTTGGCTTAGCAACAATACCTAAAAAGATAAAAAAAGACCCATTAAAGTTAATAGACTCATCATATTAACAGACCCTTAGAACCCATTATTGTTTATCAATAAACCTAAAATTAGTAACAATAAAAAATTGAATGGACGAGAGTATAAATAAAAAGAGTAGAAAAGTACGTACATGTGGGTGATCTACGTACATGTGGGTGATCCTTACGCCATTCTTTGCGTTCCGCAGCAAAACGACCACGCACGATTCCTCCTTACATGTTTGTTTGCCCACCCTTTTCCTCTCTCTCTCTCTAGAAATATTGAATGATGAAAATGGTGTTAGAGTGGTAATAGGAGCTTCTATGTTGTGGAGTATTTGCCTATTATTTGGAAAGTGTTGCTGCCATCATTATATTTTCTTGGAAGGAACCAATGTGATTGACATTTCTATGTGTCTTGGAAGAGGAGATGACTAGTGGTCTTGTCCAAAGAGTTTTCCGCCGCCTTAATACCTTAGTAAAATAAACTTTATAAATTCCCAAAACCGATTAATCATATATTCATATCTATGTTAATTTTCCTTTTTAAATTTTTTCAAATACATACTAATCCTCCGTCCCATGAAGGTGTTTGACTTGATCTGAACCTAACTAATTTTATACAAAAATTTTACACTTGTTGAATTTTTGTTGTGATACTTGTCATCACATTGATTTGCTTCTCGGCTTCTCCTATTCTATATAAATAATCGTGAAGTAAGGAAGAAACATTACATACCCCGGTTTTTCTAGGGGATAGAACAATGCCACATCATCAAATTGAAGAACCCATCTGGACCTGTTTCTCGCTTAGCAACAAAACCCTAAGAAAGAAAAAAAAAAGACTCATCAAAGTTAAGAGACACATCAAATTAACTAACCCTTAGAACCCATTATTGTTTATAACTAAACCTAAAATTAGTAACAATAAAAAATTAAAAAGGACGAGAGTATAAATACAAAGTAGAAAAGTACGTTACGCCATTCATTGCGTTCCGCATCAAGAGGACCACGTGCGATTCCACCTGACATGTTTGTTTGCCCGCCCTTTTCCTCTCCTCTCTCTCTCTCTCTCTCTCTCTCTCTCTCTCTCTCTCTCTAGAAATGTTGAATGATGAAAATGGGTTAGAGTGGTGATAGGAACATCTATGTTGTGGAGTATTTGCCTATTTTTTGGAAACTGTTGCTGCCATCATCATTTTTTCTTGGAAGGAACCAATGTGATTGACATTTCTATATGTCTTGGAAGAGGAAAAGACTAGTGGTCTTGTCCAAAGAGTTTTTCACCTGATTAATACTTTAATAAATAAACTTTATAAATTCCCAAAACCGATTAACCATATATTAATATCTATGTTAATTTCCCTTTTTAAATTATTTCAAATACGTACTAATCCCTCCGTCCCATGAAGGTGTTTGACTTGATCCGAACCTAACTAATTTTATCCTAAAATTTGACACTTGATGAATTTTATTGTGACACTTGGTATCATCACATTGATTTGCTTCTCCTATTCTATAATGATAGACGTGAAGAAAGGAAGAAACTTTACATACCCCGATTTTACCCGGTATAGAACAATGCCACACCATCAAATTAACAGACCCATCTGCACCTATTTTTGGCTTAGCAACAAAATCCTAAGAAAGAAAAAAAAGACCCATAAAGTTAAGAGACTCATCAGATTAACACACCTTTAGAACCCATTACTGTTTATTAATAAACCTAAAATTACTAACAATAAAAAATTTGAAAGACGAGAGTATAAATAAAGAGTAGAAAAGTACGTACATGTGGGTGATCCTTGCGCCATTCTTTGTGTTCCGCAGCAAGACGACCACGCGCGATTCCACCTTACATGTTTGTTTGCCCACCCTTTTCCTCCTCCCCCCCCCCTCTCTCTCTCTAGAGAGAGAGAGAGGAAGAGTAATGTGAATGATAGA